AGCAAATTAAAAGAACAACTAAAACCTGTAGAGAAGTCAATAACTTCTGAAACCACACAGTATAATATTCTTGGAAACGCTCAGAAACGCCACTCTTTACAAGTAACCTATATAAATGATCAATTAATTTCATTATAATAAAACAAATCTATAGAATAAGAATTACATTAGAATATTTATACAACATTAAACATATATGTATACACCATTAAATAATCACTAATATTCTTTTTAACATATATTTTACTGTTATAATTTTTTTTTTAAAATATAAATATTTGATTTTAAAATATGAAGGTAAAATATTAATAAAAAATTTTTGTTTAATAAAGATCTATTTTAATATTCTACATTGAAAATATAAATCAATCAAACAATTCATGTGACTCTATATTAATCAAATGGCTCATAAAGTGTAACTTTCATTTTTTCCCTTCAAATTATATTCTAACTTCAAATCTAGATCTTCAAATTTTAATCCAACAATCGTAATTTGTTTAACTATCTTAATTTATGTGTTAGTGTGACTCTTACATTAGAGAATTCAAGTTTCCATAATTCTATTGACCCATAAATACTTTATGTAACATGTCTCTTTTCTCTAGAATTTTTATCACTATATAAACTATTTCTTTATCAATTTCTAATCACCAATTTTAATAAAACATTTCATCCTTGTGTCTCGTCTGTGACTCTTGTCTAAAAACCAACTTTTCACAATAATAATCGCAATGGTAATGTATACACATTTCAATTACAATGCTTTTTTTCTCTCATTCAATACATGCAATATTTATTGTGACATTTACACAAACACCTTACATGCAATCTCATTGTGACATTTTCCCGAACACCTTACATGCAAAAATCACATGCCACATAAAACACACCATAATGCAACATTATCAACACTAAATCAACACTAAAACAACACTATCAAGTAAACCAAATACAACATTAACCCCTTTAATTCACATTAACAAAAATAAATGATAACATTTTAAAGCAAATATAATTTTTTTAATAATGTCTTAAATTAAAATCTAGATGTTACAATCACATTCATAAACTCTTAATCACATTCATAAACTCTTAGACATTGTCACATTCATACATTTATTTTTTGAAATCAATATATACTATGTTTACTTGAATTGGTGGACTAAGATTTTTGTTCCATGTGATATATCTAATATGTATAGATTTTATTAATTTCATTACGTATTTAATGGTCTTTAAAAACACATTCACTCATATTTATATAACAACACTTTAAGCAAAGAAATATGATTTTTGTGACCTAGTTTTCTTTGCATGAATAACAATAATTCCAATAAACACATTCATTACATCTTTGACAATCAATAAGCAAATATCCATTTCCAAAAGAAAGTGTTTTTTTAAACGCTCTTAATTTTAAGAGTATTTTTTTAAAAAAAAGTGTTGTCGATGTGAATATTTCTATTTGATCTATTTTTAAACAAATTTATTGTGTTTTTTCTTTAAGGCATTGTTGATTCTAAAAAGTGATTTTTCTTTTATGTTCACGTGTTGTAAATTTTTTAAAATATATTTAAAAAATTGATCAATAGGATTTTTTTTAAATAACTGTTTTTTCTCATAAAAACATTCTTCAAGAGACGTTTTTAAAAATCTTAATTTAGCTTTTATAGCAACTAGCCGAAACTGATTGTTGTAATAATTTTAGACAGTAATTGTTGTAACAGTTTAAAACTATTTTTAAGATTTATCTTCTATATACCATATGAGACAAATTCACTCTAGATGTCATCAATCAAGTATATTTCTAACAAAGACCATTTCCTATAATAAGTAAACGAAAAAGACTCAATCATCTCCTAAGTCATCACACAAAAATACACAAACAAACAAATAATAAAAAAAGTGAGAGAGAAAATAAACTAGATTGTGCAAGTTTACGCATTAAACGGCAACTATTTGAGGTTCACAATTATTTTTGACAGCACTTCCATTCCCTTAACAAAATCACCATTGTTAATCCACAAAATCATAAACTATTTTTTGTGTCTTTTGTTTTGTTGCCTTTGGAGCTTAGCCAACCCCTTAGTTGGATCCCCTTTGAATTCTTCATCAAAGATTTCAAGGAATTAATTCTTTTTGTTCCTGAGTTGGTTTGATCTTTTCAAAGGGGTCCAGCTATGGGTGCTAGCCGTTAGAGCATATATTATTCATACAACAATCATTCATTCTTTTTAGATTTGCATTTAGAGTTTTTTCTATCAGAACTCTTTTCATTTTTTGGGATGTGGAGAGATCCTGGAACACCTGCTGATTCTTTTTATGAAACCCGTCCCGAATGCACCGATGTTCCCAAGTCTCGATTTAGAATCAAGGTTTGTTTTTAATCCATATAAACATACGTGTTTGCATGCACGCATGTGTGATTTATCACGGTTAGAGTTGGAAATAAGTCGAGCTGAGTCTAGTTTTGTTTTCATTACTTGTCATGCAGGCTGGTAAAACTCTAAGTGTAAAAAAATGGCAGGCTGCATTTTCTCCAGAAGGGTATTTAGATATTGGCAAGACTCTAAGCCGAATCCATCGCGGGGTAATCACATTTTCAATCATAAAAGATAGGTTAGCCTAATGAATCCTCAGAATAATTTGTTTGACATTATTGAAAATTTCAAACCAGGGAATTCATCCATCGATCAGAGGAGAAGTTTGGGAATTTCTACTCAGTTGCTATGATGCCAAGAGTACATTTGAAGAAAGAGAGGAGATAAGGCAGCGTCGAAGGTAATCGTTTTCCCTTCTATCAATCTAAATGATCGTTGATTAGTTGTATAATTTGATCTATATTTTTCAGGGCAAAATATGCTGAATGGAAGGAAGAATGTCGCCAATTATTTCCGCTCGTGGGAAGTGGTAGATTTATCACAGCACCTGTAGTTACTGACGAAGGTCTGCCAATTCAAGATCCAATTGTTCTGTTAGAAAATAATCCAGAAAATGGAGTGATTATACCGGTTCCGGAGATAAGTAGTACAAACACTATTAATGCAGCAAAGAAGGTGACAGACAAAAAAGTAATTCAATGGATGTTAACTCTACATCAAATAGGTTTGTGAATATATATTTTCTATTGAATGTTTTTCACATGATGAAAAGTAAGATTCTATCATCATAAAACGATTCATATTTCAGGTCTTGACGTGATTCGAACCGATAGAACACTGGTTTTTTATGAGAAGAAAGAGAATTTGTCGAAATTATGGGATATTCTTGCTGTTTATGCTCGGATAGATACAGATGTTGGCTATGGTCAAGGTTGGTCATTAGATATATGATCGATTTGAATCTCTGATGTAACCATAATTTCGAACTGATATAACCTTCTGATCATCTTTATATAATCGATAGGAATGAGTGACCTATGCTCTCCTATGATAATACTTCTCGATGATGAAGCTGATGCCTTCTGGTGTTTCGAGCGTCTGATGCGTAGATTAGTAAGCTTTAATCTCTATATGTGATTTATTTCGTTATTAATCTCCTTTTAAACATGGTTAGCATGAAATGATTTCTTGTAAAGCAAGTAAAACAGAAGAAATTTTCATGGTTGGTTATTGGTTATTGGTTATTGGCTAATGATCTATGTTGTTTAATTTTTATAGCGAGGAAATTTCAGATGCACTAATAACTCGGTCGGGGTGGAAGCTCAACTAAGTAATTTGGCTTTGATTACTCAAGTAGTTGATCCAAAACTTCATCAACATATAGGTATTTCCTTGAATCGTCCTTCAAATCTATATCAATATTGTTTGAACATTTCAAAGGGTTGAAATATTTTTCCTCCATATATTATGGTCCATTGATTTTTAGTATTCTGACGCCACTTTTTAAACAACTTGATGTTGTCAAAATGGAAAGTAACTATAAACTGTTCTTTAATATTGTGGCACAGAACATATTGGAGGAGGTGACTATCTGTTCGCTTTTCGGATGCTTATGGTTCTATTTCGTCGAGAATTCTCCTTTTGTGATTCATTGTATCTCTGGGAGGTTCGTTTAGCTTCTTTCCACCAGTTTTATTCTATCATGTTTCTTTGATGTTAGTCACGTGTTAACATACCTCAGTGCCTTTGTTCGTTGAAATCGAGTTTTTGAATTGCACACTGCACTAGGAACAGATTATAGTGATTATAATTATAACTAACTACTTTAAATATTTAACAGATGATGTGGGCTCTAGAATATGACCCCAACTTATTCTGGTTGTATGAAGATTCAGAAGACGCTTCTGACAAATCTGATGAATCTAAAACAAGATTAAAGTCAATTCGTCATTATGGAAAGTTCGAGAGAGAAAATATGAGAAACGGAACAAAGAACGCAGAAGAACCACCCCTTCCCATATCGATTTTCCTTGTTGCTAGTGTGTTGAAAGAAAAAAGTGCAACACTGCTTCAGCAAGCGCGGGGTCTAGACGATGTTGTCAAGGTTTGTTATACTAAATTCGAAGGAACAATTGCAATGACCATATATATGTCTTTCTTTAGAACTGATATTTGGTATCCAAAAAAAGCTCAGCTTTTTATGTTCATGTATATTAACTTTGGCCATTTGATTCAATTCTTAGATATTGAATGACACAAATGGAAATCTAGATGCCAAAAAGGCCTGCATGGCAGCACTGAAACTTCACAAGAAATATCTGAAAAAGGTACAACAAACATTTCCTGTTTTTACTTTCCATATCTTCATGTTTCTATTTAACATGAGGATAGCCAAACTTCAGTAAAGGAAGTGATCTATTATAATGAATCACCTCATATAACACTGGAAGTTTGAATTTGTTGCAGGCCAAGAAACCATAGCCCCGAATATAGCATATAACGTTTGTTTTTTCGCTGATCAAGAGATGTGTTGCTTCCTACATAGCACCCTTCGTTTGGGGTTGGAGTTCCTCGTTAAATTTGGATTAGGTTTTACAAACTCAAAAGGGAATTCAATCATCAAGTCTTAGTTGAGAAACAACTGGTGTTGTATGTTAAGATAAATTCTTTTTCTTTTGTATATCTAAAATAACAAAAAAAAAAATTGTGCATTAAGTTTTTATGTTTCAACCATTTGTTCATACATTGTAAAATATGTGATTCGGCAAAAAAAAAAAGAGTAAACACAAAGGGAATAACCATCTGTGTCAACGAAATTGATGTGCTAACCTTCATTTCTTGCCTCCAACATGTTATTCTTTCATTGAATGTTTGATTGAATAAAAAGCAATTCATTAAGAAAAACAAAATCCAGCAAGCAACATCAATGCAAAAACTAGAACTAATATTCTTGGAAGGCAGTGATAAGCCAATAAGCATGTCAAGGGAACTTGATAATACAAAGTTCAGTGTGTGTGGATTTGACTAATGTAATCAAGTGTCTAACAAAACTTATTTCAATAAGCTCGAAGCAGAGCAGTAACAACTCATCTGTTACTTGAGCAGAATTTATCTTGAACCCCCATAAGTACGCATAGTCCTCCTCGTGCGGGAATTTGTATGAGTTCGCTGTCCCCGACAGGGTAAGCCATCAGCGTGCCTGATCCCTCTGTAGCATTGAATACCAACCAACCTTCCCACATCTCTCTCAACTAGCTTTTTCTGAAATTAAAAAGTAATCAAAACAATCACACACATTATACTTTATATCATGCAACAAAACACATAATGTGCAAAATCAAAAAGTAAAGAAGATTAGAGTACCAAATCATTTCCAATTAAGTACTTAGCAAGCAATTCACGAAGAGAGTATAGTTCTCTTTTGCTTAGGTCCTTCACATATTTGTTCTCAACTCCAAGTTCACACACAATGTGATGAGCTTTTGCACGGCCAATCCCGTGGATATGCTGAAGAGCATACTGAAGACGTTTACTATCTGGAATCTCACCTCCAAGACCACCTCCAATGTTTATATTTCGTACTTGCACACTGCGAAACTGTACAAAACCAAAACGGTGTAACTAGTTTGATTCTAAACTGCAGTGCATGTCAGGAAACAGAAAACCCCACTAAGGAGAAAACTCACCGTAAAGTTTTCACAAAGCATGGTTGAAGCATAATAATCTTCTAAAATTAAAAAGGACAGCAGTTGCAAACCCAAAATGATGAAAGGATAAAACTCACCGTTAAGTTTTCACGAAGACATACAGCAGCATTAGAAACAATTCTGCCAAAACCAAACATCTTGGAGCTTGAGAATTTGGTGGCGCACTAAGTTAAAAACCGGAAGTGGGATCTATGAACACACAAACCAAGAATCAATTAATTTTCAAAATCAATTAAACACAGCTATTGCATCTTCAAGCTTGCATCCCTATGCATTTTAAACGTAGAAATTGTAAAGCCACAGTGTGTAGCATCAGCCTAGACGCACGTTTGTAAGGATTCCAAAGCAGTAACAAACACTCACCAAGTTTTCAAATCAAATAAGAATTGGTTTAATCTCATGCCATACCATAAAATTAGTATTAAAAAATACTCAGCCCTTGATCAATGTCCATGTGATGCTATTTTGTTCGCTACAATAATTTTTCTTAGAGGATTATAATAAGAATTCCATAGATGAGAATAGTGTTAAAAGGCTTTAATATTTTTAAAACAAGACTTACAAGAACTCTGAAAATTTTCTCCGAAAGGATTGTTCCAACCTTAAAATTGGAGAGATAAAGTTTGTTCGGTAATTACATATTATCAGAATGTGAGTCAGGCCCAACTCATCCCTACAAAACCGGCTTGTAGGATGAGGATTGCCTCACTTATAAACACATCACGGGCTATATCTCTAAGCAATGTGATAGGAGTATTCAATTAGTTTTTACACCATTAAAATATTTAAGTTACAAGTTGAAATTATCTTAGTTGGGCTTTTATTATTTAGTTGAGCTTTTTAGCGGTTAGGTCTTTTAAAGTATTATCCATCACTAAGTCTATATATGTACTCTCATTGAGAGGGTGAAAATCAATGAATGAAAAAGATGTTATTTACTTTTCTTATTTAGTTTTTAGTGTTCTTTTCCTTTTCTATTACAAACCCTAGCTTCATAGTTTTTGATAGGAAAAACTTCCTATCACAATGTGGAACTAAATCCACCCCTTCAAACCTAACATGACGAAGGTGTTGGAGGCTGCAACGAAGCAAGTCAAATGCCGCAATTTAGGCGACTAAGGGAGGACTACAATGAAGGCGGAAATTCCGTGACATTAACCATTAAGCAGATTGAAAATCTATGAAAACTATAACTAATTATCAAAGTCTAACATCTAAAACAAATTCCCAAAAGGATCATTATAAAAAAAAACAGATAAAAGCAACGAAAAATAGCTTAAGGTGAAAAAAACCAACCAAAAAGTGAGATTTAACAATGAAAAGATTGGTTTGGTAATCACAGGCCCAAACACTTTATATATATATATTTTTTTTTTTTTTTTATCGAAACAGATCAAACACCAGAGAGATAAAACCCTAACTAGAGAGGAAAAGAGTGAGAGATGGGTACCGGTGAGAGTGACGGAAGGTTGTAAGAGAAGAAGAACAATGTCTGTGAACACAATTGTGACGGCGACGGAGGTTGGCGGCTGAGGTCGATTGGCCGACTCGCAGTACTCCGAAAACAAAACTCAGGCCAGTGGTGGTTTTTGGTGATATCTTTAAGTCTATAATTTTTTTCTTAAGTTTGTTATAATTATAAAAGTGTATTTTAAATACATTATTATTTTTCTTTTTTTTGTTAACTTAATTTAAAGTTTAAAATAAATCTTTTATTTTAAAAATATTTATAAAAAAAAAAAAAGCATATTTGTGATTCTCAATTATAAATTTTTATAGGGATATTGAAAGGCAAAATAATATTAAAATTAATAATAAGGTAAAATACTTGAATCAAGTAGAAAAGGGTGCATGTTGATATAAGATAGACTTATAACGAGCATATTAAAAACATAAAAACTACCACAATTCAACTTCAAAAAACCACTCTAGAGATGAACACCTTAAGAATAATTATAGTTAAGTTAGCTCGACCACCAACACTTAATCAATATCATTAAAGTTATTTTTGAATTGAGTGGGAACATAACGAGCAGAATGGAATAGAATATAACAGAGTGAAATAGAACAGAGTTGAATGGAATATATATCTCACGCCATTGTTTAGATATTTTATTAAAAATATCGTATTTCATTACATACACCCCAAATCAGATGGAACAAAAAATAGAGAATTTGATAGAATAGATTCCATCATGTTCAATTTCACTCTATCAGTTATTTACAAATTCAAAAAATAGAATTATATTGTTTACCACTTTATTCCATTGCATATCATCAAACCAAACATATCTTACGGAAGAATAAAAGAGACATCATGTGAAGATGCAAGAGCTCTCCATTAATCTATCCAAAAAACCATTTTCAAACAAAAAAAAGTATTTTTTTTCCCTCCACTTCTTTTACATTTGTTGAAGTACCAGAAAACGCAAACTCATTTCAGGTCCTCCAAGTGTTCTAGACCACCGCATGTCAGATCATAGAAAAACTCCCCTTAGACTTTGCTCTACCGCGTAAAGAAAGCAAACTCTCAAAGAGAAAATTAGGATCCCCTAGAAGCCGACTCAATGAAAAACACCACAAATAGGACACAAGATAAAACTAGGGTCCACAATCACCTTTCTCTTGAATAAATTCTCACCTTCCTAGCGATATCATCCACAAACCAGTTATAAGGGTCTTCCCATTTACAACAAAAAGAGAAGCCATTTTCACTAGAGGAGGAATTCAGAGAGAGAGAGAGAGAGAGAGAGAGAGAGAGAGAGAGAGAGAGAGAGAGAGAGAGAGAGAGAGAGAGAGAGAGAGAGAGAGAGAGAGAGAGAGAGAGAGAGAGAGAGAGAGAGAGAGAGAGAGGGAGAGAGAGAGAGAGAGAGAGAGAGAGGAGAGAGAGAGAGAGACGAGAAAGTGGGTTGAATTTTGTTAACTTTTTCTTCTTTTTCTCTTATAGCCTCTTGTCATATTCTAAATACAAGATCAGAATCTAAGTTAGAGTCTGATGATAGCAGCAAGATAAGGTTTAGAGTTAAGGAAGCGAGAAAGATATACACAAACAATAATCCTGGTTCTTTCCACAAATTAGGAGTAGTCCAATCCCCTTGCACTTCCAAGGGACTTCCACTATAATCACTTCTTATTACAAATACTCAAGCTCACAAACAAGAGACTTCAATGCTCAAGGACACAAGTAAGAGACTTCAGATACTCAAGCAACAACAAGAAATTTCTAACAACCTATCTTACAAATTAAGGATTGTTTCCGAATTATACTTGATATACAATTAGAGGTGTATATAAAATACAACACAAAAAGACTCTAAGACTTAATAACTTCTAAAAATATACAATTGGTAATAAGTTCTAAGTTAAGCTTGTGCAATATATTTGATAGAGTAACAACTCTTTATTTATCAAGGCGCGATGTTGTTTAGTTTCTTCAAGTTTCTCATCTCCTTTTATAGAAGAACACAAAGGAGTCGTTGGAGAAGACTTCAAGCACAATGAGTCTTTGAGGGAAGCATATTTAGAGAAGTCAGAAGCTTTCTGATATGGTTAATTCCTTTAAATGGTCATTTGAAACTCATTTTCTACATGAAGAATTATCAGTTGCATTCCATCTGTTTTCTGCTAAGTCTTAAAGTGATTAGAAGAGGACACAAAGTCATCAGAGTTTGATAGTAACCTATCAGAGTTTCCGGATCCTTGAGCTTTGACTTGCTTTGGGCTCTGAGTCTTCAAAAGATGAGTCTTATCTTTTGATCCTTCAGAGGTTGACTTTCTTCAAAAGTTGACCTCCTTCAGAAGCTGATTCTTCACAGTCTGATCTTTAGAATCTACATATTAAGGCTTCTCTTTGGGTGTTTAATCCAGTGTCAAAAGTGACTTTGTGTCTGAATTTTAATCTATTTTCTTGCACACTTTGAAATTCTGGTATGTCCGACTTCAGATGTCCTATGACATGTTGAGACATCTGAATCCAACTAAAATAAACATGGCAAGGTATAACAATCAAATCAGTACTGAAAAGCATAAATAACACACATAATTATTAACCCAGTTCGGTGTACCACAACACCTACTCTGGGGGCTACCAAGCCAAGAAGTAAATGCAGTACACAATATCAATCAAAGCTAAACTAGTCTCAAGTTTACAACTTATCACTTAATCACTACCATGTGCAACTTCTATCTAGGTCCTCCCTAGATAAGAGAAATACCACCTCACCTCTAATCACTGTAGTGATGTCTAACAGTCCTGGTTCTAGTTACTGTTTC